TTCTTACTAGAATAAATTTTTTGTTGTTATTAATGTATTTTGAAAGTTGTCAGTTCTTTTTCCAACAGGGAAACTTATTACAAACAATATAAGAAGCAGAGCTATTGTAGATTAAACTAGTAAAAATATATATTTGTAAAATACTGTATTTATTTGAAGCTTTGCATTTTAAGAAGGTAGGTATTATTCCCTGTGGTATAATTGTAGTTGTCTTTAGAGTTCTGCTATTTCTGCTTGTAATACCAGAATACGTTTGAATTTGTGTGTGAAAAACATTCAAGTAAGAAATTATGAAAAAAATACAGAATAGCAAGATTTTTTACAAAATTTCGTCTGCTGTACATGCAGTAAAACTAACTTGTTCATTACTTGAAATCCTACCAAGATGAGAGAAATGCACATAAAAAGCTTCCCAGGCTATCGGGAACCATCCTGATTGAGTTTGTCAATATCTCTTAATAATTCTGAAACACTTCTTGTAGAATGTGAAATTTCATAATCATTTGTTTTGATAAAATAGGTGGTTTGTTTCTTTATAATGCTGTTTGTAGATAAATATTGTTCTTATTGACTGATAAGTTACCACAGAAGAAATGTAAGTCTTTAAAGGTGGTATGACTGCTCTTTTCCTTACAAAAGCACTAAGCTAGGGTTTAAGCAGTTTTGGTGTACTTTTCAAATAAATAATTAGTAAAACATGTTGATTAAGATGTTTGAGTCTGCTCATACCTAGAATTCAGAAACAGGAATGTTTTGGATTCATCTAGATGAGTATGTATTTGCATGACTTAACATTTATCAGATCAGTCTTGGTAAGTCATCTTCAATGATTACCTTCTGTAAATACTACCAAAGTTCTTTTTTTCTTCTCCCAGGTGCTATTCAAGTATTGGGAAAGTTCAGGATGCCTTTATATCTTATAGGCAATCTATTGATAAATCAGAAGCAAGTGCAGATACATGGTGTTCTATAGGGTAAGAATGATACAGGGTAATACAGTGATATAATTCAATGCTAATATATATAAATAAAGAATATCAGCTTTTTAACTCTTTTTGTGCTCTCAAGGGGACCGTAAAGCATTTTCATGTATACCTTCATGTTGTCAGACTTGTCTGATTTGAAGTTTAAATAATAAATTTATATTTGCTTTCTCGATTTTTTTTTTTTTTTTTTTTTTTTTAAATACTGAATAGGCTATGTATATGAGCTGTGCATGTTAAGATTTTGTGCTGTTTATGCTTATTACTGCGCTTTATGTAGCGGCAACGTTTGTTAAGGGTTTTGAGGGAAATGTGTGTGTTTGACTTGTTTGTATTTTGACTCTGTTATTAACTCTCAACTTCACTAATCTTTCTATTCAGTGTGCTGTATCAACAGCAAAATCAGCCTATGGATGCTTTGCAGGCCTATATCTGTGCTGTACAATTGGACCATGGCCATGCTGCAGCCTGGATGGACCTAGGCACACTCTATGAGTCCTGCAACCAGCCTCAGGATGCCATTAAATGCTACTTAAATGCAACTAGGAGCAAAAATTGTAGTAATACCTCTGCACTTGCAGCACGGATAAAGTATTTACAGGTAAAACTAAAGTTTTAAGAAGTGGGAAATACTCTTCCAAACACACAGCAGAGGGGAGGGGAGAAGTAACACACAAGTTTAACTTGCAGTTGTTTGTGGTGTGTATATCCTGTTTTCATGTGTATTGTAAGCATATCATAGCCTGTAATATTTTATTTCTACATTTTTAAGTGAAACTTAATTCCTTATAAACCCTATTTTGCACATTTAATCAAAGCATACTGTTTTACATCACTTTGCTTTTTTCTTTGTATTGTCTACATTTTAAGTTCTCATAACATATAGAGAGAATACACGCACGCTATCTTTCACTCTTGTTTGCAATTTCAGAAAAAAGGAATTATGAGACCTCTGAATCCAGAGCTCATCTTTGTTCTGATTCTCACAAAGGTTTATATTCTGGTTACCCTCTTTATACTTAGCACCTTTCTAAAACCCCAAATTTTAAATCTATCCTCTCTTTAAGACATAATTAGCTACAGCATTTAGGAAGATTTCATGGACTTGCTCTTACTAAAGTAGGCTTGTGTTAAATTTGCTTTTTACATAATTTTTCCTAGGCTCAGTTGTGTAACCTTCCACAAGGTAGTCTACAGAATAAAACTAAATTACTTCCTAGTATTGAGGAGGCATGGAGCCTACCAATCCCCGCAGAGCTTACCTCCAGGCAGGGTGCCATGAACACAGCACAGCAGGTGAGAAGTTGGGTTATGTTCTGCAGGTGCCCAGCTTTAAGGGTTCTTTACAATCGGTAGTGGTCAAGCTTATTTTATGGAGCAGAGGACTGGCTTTTATTAATAAAAAGCCTTTGATTTATTTGCAAAGGGGTACTAGATCAAGAAGCTCCCTGTAATATGGGAGAAATATGGGGGTACCAATTTAGAACCTTTGTGGATTTTCATGATTTTAAAAGTTTTCATCTTAAATAGAAATGCCGCAGTGGTTTGATAATCCCGTGAAAGGTACACATTCCTCCATTGATGACCATATGGAAACTGATTTTTCAGTTACTGAGATCAGCTTCAGAATGTCTACCCGGCCCTTTTAATATATGTGGGCTGTTAAATTATATAATTTAAAGGAAAGAATTAAGAATATATAGAACCATATTTTTGTCTTCCTTCTGTGATTCTTAGGCTTGTAAACCTCATCATCCAAATACTGAACCTGTACTAGGCCTCACTCAAACACCAATTTCACAGCAATCCTTGCCACTACACATGATTCCTTCTAGCCAAGTAGATGACCTGACCAGTCCTGCCAAGAGGAAAAGAACATCTAGTCCAACAAAGGTATATATTCTGATGAACTAAAGAGCCCCCTACCAAAATTATATGGAAATATGCCTTAAAGTGATACAGCATGCACAGAATTTGTGCTGTAAATTTTAATCCTTTGGCATCAAGGTGGGGAATGTTTTTAGGAATTTTAAAAAACATTTTTCAGTGATGTGTTAAATCAGGCTACAGTTCAGGCAGGGAGCGCATGAGGGCAATGCAGATCGGTGCCACTGTACTACAATCATAGTTGTGTAAGTGAAAAAGTACAGTCATAGTTTGATGATAGATAGAGAGGGAGACAATCATGTCATCCTGTCTATTGCCTTTGCTTATATTTAGAATTCAAGTGTTTCATCATCATGTAATAGTGTTGCAGTAGATAAAGTATTCAAAGTAGTGTACATTTAAGTTAATTGCATAATTTGATTTGATTGTTTCTTGTTATGATATTAGATATAATTTAACTTTTTCCTCTGACTATTTTGTTACTGTATGGGAATGGTAGAATGAGGCTTGGCATGTTTTAGCATGTTCTTTGTTTATATTGTTATTCTTGAAAGAATGACTAGTTTTTTCATAAGTAAGATAAAATCTAGATAGTAAAAGAAATGATGTTGACCCTTTGATAGTCATGCATTTTAATGTAATGTTTTCTCTCAGAATACTTCAGATGTTTGGAGCAGTGGCCATGCAGTGTCACATCCTCCTGTACAGCAACAAATTCATTCTTGGTGCTTGACACCACAGAAATTACAGGTACGTATGTTAAAGATCTTCAGAAGTGTTGGTGCATTTTTTTTGTTGTTTCCTTCTTTCTTCCTTTTAAGAAAATAAATCTGGAACATTTTTCGCTTTCATATTTCTGCAGTTCAATGTGAAATACTTCCCAAATAATTCCCACAGTGTAATTCAAGTTGTGCTAATATTATGTCTTCTCTATGTCACATAAGTTCTATAGTAAAATAAATGATCTCTAGCAGAAACTGAACACTTAACATTGTATGAATTCTATAATTTATAAAGTAAGAACATACTGTAATCCTTTTTTCTTATGGTGTTTTAAAGACAGATATACAAATTGCCCCACTTGTGTGCCAAGTGGGTTTTGCTACTTGCTGTAATGTGGGGGATATTGAAGGAGGTGTAGAAGTATTGTAATTTCCTCTTCTTCCTCTGAGGTAGCTTCCTGTATAAAATTGTGTAAACAAACATGCACATTCTACAAAATGCAATTACTCAAATGAAATGTGGTACTGCTTTTCTATATTTTATGTCATCTAATATATGAAATGCTAGATTTTATTTTTGAAATCTTGTTTAAGGTCTTTTTTGTTATGATGTTTTATCGTCTCTTCAGTTCACTAGAGCTTGCAGTGAGCTTCA